CCCTTGAGAGCAAGGCACACGTCGAGATCGATGAGATTAGCGCAACCGTTAGTGTTCACCGAAGCTTAATTGCAACAAAGACCTCCTAATCAAAAGCTAAAGGTTTCCAAGTAAATGCAGAGATCAGGAGAGCCTTTTATCATCCCTCGTAGAATTGAACAAAATCTACGCACTGTTCGACCGATACCGATTCATCATCATTTCTGAACCACGCACATCAATGACTTGTGGATAACCCCAGAAAAATAAACGAAGTAATTAAGGGGCTCTTCATATTAATATCATTTTCAACCATACCGTTATTTTATAAAATTATTAAAAAAATAACTACGTTTAGTTTGTTGCTAAATTTTGGTAAATACATAAGAAATCCTACTAAAATTTTAGTAATATTGCCAACTTGCCAAAATTTTGGTATGTTTATTTTGGCTACAATCTAAACGGCCCCTAAATACTCTCTCCATCCCAAAATAATTATCATATATGTTTATACACCAAGACCAAGAATAATTTAAATCGCATAAATCAAGATACTATGTATACATTCTCCTACAATGCATGCATCGATTAAAATACCATGCTAATTACACCCTAGCATGTACATATTTTTCCATGCTAAATTAATTGTATTTCGATGAAATTTGTGTCCATGCGGTTATATGATGATCAATTTGAGAATTTTTGGATTCTATTATATGATGATTAATTTGGAAATGAGTGAGTATATTTTATGGTTAAAACTTAAACATAGTCCCTTGTCTTTAAAAGAGCATAGTTTTTTTATCTAGTTAAAGACATATATTAAGCGGCATATTAAAAGACTAACTTGCCCTTTATTAATAGGGGCAATTGCAAATTTACAACTGCTTTTAATCATTATTTCAAAACTGCCACTAAAAAATTACAAAAATACCACTGGAACTGTCATTCGAGTGGCATCCTTGCAAAATTGAAAAAACAAGTGGCAAATTTGCAAATGCCTCTTATTAATATGGTGAAAAGAAAAACTATGAGTGAGTATTATTAAGTTCAATGGCTAAAAACGAGAAGAAAAAAAAATAAGCACTATTAAAAAGGTTTAGTGGGCAACTCTCAAACTGCATTTTTACGGTAGTTTAGTGTATTAAAGGTGCCGGTTTTTTTCATCTTTTGAAGGGGAAAAAGAGTGTCGGTTTTAGTTGTTCTTGTATCTATAGTACCGACTTGTATGTGCATTTTTTAAAATAGTGTTCATAATCAATACTGGAATATAGAATACAATAAAGATTTTAAATTTTATCTGGGATTGCATGGTAAGGTATTTGGGCGTGTTTAGTTCACGTCAAAATTAGAAGTTTAGTTGAAATTAGAACGATGTGACGAAAAAATTGAAAGTTTACGTGTGTAGGAAGTTTGAAAAAAAATTGGAACTAAACTCGGACTAAGCATACGTTCTTACGATGATGATCGGCTAGACTCGCAGTATCAAGTCGAGGGGTCTCGATTAGTCCAATCTTAGTCCGATGTCATCTCTCTCTCTCTCGCTTCCCTCGGCCGTAAGCAACACTGGCAATAAATTGGGGAGCTGAAAATTAAACAAGTCTTGGGCCTTTGGGCTAGTTTAGTTCCCAAAAATTTTCCCCTTCACCTATCACATCGAATCTTTGGACACATGCATGGAGCATTAAATGTGGACAAAAAGAAAAACCAATTGCACAGTTTAGCTATAAATCGCGAGACGAATCTTTTGAGCCTAATTAGGCCATGATTAGCCATAAGTGCTACAGTAACCCACATGTGCTAATGACGGCTTAAGTAGACTCAAAAGATTCGTCTCGCGGTTTCCAGGCGAGTTCTGAAATTAGTTTTTTCATTCGTGTCCAAAAACCCCTTCCGACATCCGGTCAAACGTCTGATGTGACACCCAAAAATTTTCTTTTCCCCAACTAAACACAGCCTTTGTTCATCATCTCTTCCTTTGGTCACCTCGTGATGGGCGATGTGAGATTGTGAGTGTGCATGCATGCCTACCGGTCAGCTCAGCCGGCCAGCATTTCCGAGCGGCATTGATGGAGCGACGACCACGCGATTTCAGCTCATCTCATCGATCGCTCGATGGACTTGGGATCGATCGATCGATCGAGTAAATGATTTGGCATTCATCGCTATGCGGCGATGCCCTCTCGGTCATGACATGGACTCGGGTGCCGTTTCTCCGGCCTCTGAGTCATGCGTGACATGGACTCCGAGAGCTCAATCTCCGGCTCATATCCTGTGACATTTGACTCCTATATATGGCCATCGTTGCTTTTGACCGGTTCGTTCTTTCTCGCCGGAGTCTGAATTCTTATCAGCAATAGTAGTAACAGACGGAAGGTACTGTACGCCCTTAGAGAAAGTTTAAAATTATCTATAGCCAATGTAATAGCTAATTTATACAATATTTATTTACTGTACTATTAATACATGGTCCCACCTGTTATACACATATTACGTTTTGGAGTCCGTGCTGCAGCTGGCTATAAATCTGTAGTCCCCTGCTCTTCTCTCTCTTCTTTTATCTCTTTAAAATATGTTTATAGCTGGCTTATAGCCTACTATTGTACCTGCTCTTGATGGCCATCTCCCTAATCCAAGGCCAAGTATCCGCCATTAGGGGTAGATGGATGGTGTAGGACTGTAGGATGAAAAAATAGCCAAAGCAGCTAAGGTCAGTTATCACAGGTTTTTTTAGTCCAAATTTTAGATTGAAACTTTTATCAGTCATCATCGCTTTGCTTTTAGTGTTTTTTTCGAACGAATTCCTTTTTTTATTTGAAAAGTCCATTTTACTTCCTCGAGCTATTTCATCGGGTCAATTAGAGCATGTACAATAGCAGACTATTAGCCAGCTATAAACATATTTTAATGAGATAAAAAATAAGAGAGAATAGCAGCGGGCTACAGATCTGTAGCCAGCTGCAGCACGGACTCTAAGACACAATATGTATATGACAGGTGATTCCATATATTAATAGTATAGTAAGCAACTATTGTATGAATTAGCTATTAGATCGGCTATAGATGAATTGAAGCAGTAGTAGGGTATACTATTAAACTTGCTCTTAATCTTAAATCGTTTGTTTTCTCATTTCACTCCGAAACTATTAGAATTGGTCAATTTTACTCTGAAACAATTCTCTCCTTCTTTTAGTAGTATCTTTGTATAAGTTATCTTTTAAGGGCAAATATGTAGAACTATATATGGCACCATTAACAAAGTTATAAAAAATATTTTTATAGTTTTTCATGATTGCTTGTTTGACCTTTTGTGTTTAAGGCTGTGTTCGGAACCTTGTGCTCCCAACACAAGTAGTTAGCATAGAAAACGGAGCGGTCCATTAGCGCATGATTAATTAAGTATTTGCTAAAAAATGGATCAATATGATTTTTTAAAGCAACTTTCGTATAGAAACATTTTGCAAAAAATACACCGTTTAGCAATTTGAAAAGCGTGCGCGCGGAAAAAGAGAAGGGAGAGTTGGGAACACAGGGTTCCGAACATACCCTAAATCAATCTTACTTCCTCCGTCCTAAAATATAAGCACTTTTAGCATAGTGTCAAGTCAACTATTTTTAACTTTGACTATTAATAAAAAAAATAAAAAATATCAATCATGTAAAATTGATGTTACTAGATTTATCATTAATCAAACTATCATTAAACCATCATAATATACAACTCCTTTTATTTACAATATTTTATTTTTATAGATATTGTTGATCAAAGTAGCATCTCGAAGACTGTGTCAAAATAAAAAATACTTATATTTTGGGACAGAGTGAGTAGATGCTTTGAGCCCATGCAAACAGTCATAAAAGGTTCTATAAAGTGTTGAGACATAAGTTATAATACATGTATCATCATCCTACCAAACTGTAAAATAGAGAGTTGAATTGAGAGAGAGAAAAAAAAAGAAATATTGTTAGGAAGTAAAATGAGCCTTTAAAAGGTAAGTGCTGTGGTAAAATAGTTTGAGCAAAGTGATTTCTTTTTTTCTTGTCCATTTCAGCCAGATGGATCAGTATTTTTTTCCCTAAAACCGGTATTTGAAACATCGATGAAAAGTGCTTGAACTCTTCTACTCTACTCCCTCCATCCCAAAAACTCCTCCTAGTAGAACGAAAAGTGCTTGAACTCTTCTACTCTACTCCCTCCGTCCCAAAAACTCCTCCCAGTAGAACGATTTAGATCCCTCCGTCCCAAAAACTCCTCCTAGTAGAACGATTTAGACAGTTATTTGTCTAAATTTGTTGTACTAAGAGAAAACACATACCCTCTTAGGTTAGTTTTTTTTTTATGCGGAGAGAAGCTTGAACCTTTTTCCGCTGTTGAAGCTAACCTTATTATACTTGCTCTATTTTTTTTTCTTAACCTCCTGTTTGGGTTAACCCCAACACATTTTCATCTGTAGAAGTGTTTTGAGGGTGGCTGTGCGACACAACGGCCTACGGGCGATGTGAGAGGGGACCACCATTACAACGTTGTAGTCCGTACGTAGTTAGTACTGTATGTCTACTGTTCGTATTATGCGCGGTGGACAATAACTGTCACCGTCGGTGCTCTCCCACATTCTTGCTTGATTCCTACATTTCGCTTCAGTACCAAAAATACACTAATGCAGGAGAGACAGTATTATCTGTTAAGGTTCCTTTGAAATGGAGGATTCATTTTTCCTAATAATTTATCCGATAGAGTCCTTTTGATTCATAGATAGATGATAGAAAAATTTTCATAGGATTTCATTACTATGGTCAATTTCATAAAAAAAAAAAAGCAAAGTGTTAGACATCTTAGGTTTATGTGGTGCAATCAAAGAGCTCATCCTCTCATTTTCTGTAGGATTAGAAAAACATACTATTTCAATTCTTACTTTCTTTTTATTCCTGTGGTTTTTCCTATCTAGTATTTCAAAGAGGCCTAAATTCATTTGATTTCGTAGCAAGTCTATAACAAATGGACATGGCAGGACACCCAAGAATAATGCATAATTTTCTCTTGGTTTGCAAGAGACCCGTAAAATTTAAACCATGGTGTTGATAGAAAACAAAAAATCGCAGAAATTATAAAGGTTAATAAGCTCTATTGCAACATTTTTTTTCTTTAAGCATCGTGCGCCGTCGACGTGTCCCAATCGGACGGCCAGACGCGCTGCCCCCTCGGATTCTCGCTAAACCACTTGGCAAGCCACAAAAAATCCCAAAGAACCAAAGGAGCAAAACAAAAAAAAACGATAAAAGAAAAGTGAGCGAATTTACAAACAGGCCCCTCGCCGTCGCCGGAGAGTTGGAAGAGTCACGAGCTCGTCGGCGGCTGCGCCTGCGGGGCTACGGATAGCGGGAAGCCACGCGGCGACGAGAACAGCGCGGCGAACGACGACGGCCTGTGGTCCGGCGCCGCGGCGGCGGCGGCGGAGGAGGAGGTGGCCGCAATGCCGCCGGATGAGGGTGCCGCGGGCGGCGCGGCCGTCGACGATGTTGCGGCGGAGGAGGCGGTGGCCGGGGCGGAGTTGGAGGCGACGCGCTCGCAGGAGGGGCACATGGAGAGTGTCGTCGCCGGGAGGTGCATGTAGAAGGGGTGCACCGTCTTGAGCGCCCGGAGCTCGGCGAGCTCCTTCTGCAGCCGCCGGTTCTCCTCCGTCAGCGTCTCGCAGCACCGCTTCAGGTACTCGCAGTCCACCTCCGTCTGCTTCAGCTTCGTCCTGCACGAGCACGACGCGGCAGCCGAAAATTGTTAGAGATCCTCGCGAGAAGGGAGAAGGAAATTCATGTCGTCGTGCGCGGCGAGCGTGTGCGTGCACGCACCTGGCGCGGCGGTTCTGGAACCACACCTCCACCTGGCGCGGCCGGAGGTTGAGCTGCTTCGCCAGCGCCAGCTTCTGCTTCTGCTCGCGACACAACGCAACCGAGACGCAACGTTAGGAGAGCGAGACGACGACGACGACGACGACGACGCCATGGTGTTCGATCGATGAGAGGAAGAGAAGCTTACGGGGTTTAGGGTGCTGTGCTCCTTGAAGCTCTCCTCGAGGAACGCGGACTGCTCCTTGGAGAGGCGGAGCTTCTTGCGCGCGGAGCCGCCGTCGTCCTCGTCGCTGGCGCGGGAGCACGAGCGGTCGCCGCCGCCACCGCCAGGGGCCGCGTCGTTGCCGCCGAGGCCGTGCCCGGAGAAGTCATCCATCGGGAAGGATCCGGCGCTGTTGTTGGGGGACGACGAGAGTGCCGCCCCGGCCACGTCGTCCTGCTCCTCCTCCGCGCCGCCGCCGCCGCCGCCGCCGCCGGACGACGGCGGGCGGTTCACGTCGAATCCCCGCGTCGACGCCTCCAAATGCCCTGCCACCCAACCACACAGATCGCATCAACCAACCCATCTCAACACCACCACCAAAAAAACCCATCCACCATCGCCGCACTCACTGCTCTCGGACGACGGCGGCGGCGGCGGCGGCCATGGGAGGCCAAGGCCGGGCACCATGGGCAGAAGCGTGAGCCGCACCGTCGGCTCCGGCGAAGAACCACCGCACCTGCTCGACATCGACCCGAACTCCAGCTCCCTCCTCACCTCATGATCCCTCCTCCCCGCCTCCGCCGCCTCCTCCCTCCTCCCCATCCCAAGCCCAAGAACCAGCTCCCTCCCAGCATCCGCCATAGCCTCCCCCAAGCTCAACCCCAGCTCCATCTCTCCCAACAATCCGTCACTCACTCACTCACCTCACTCACACACAGCAATGGAAAACCTCGTAATCGCGCAAGCCGCCGCGAGGTTTTATAGCAGCAGCGAAGGAAGAAGACGACCTGACCACCTCACACTTCACACCTCTCTCGCTCGCTTCCCTCCGGCGCGTATGTGGCTGCGTGATAATGGCGGGGTTTGACCGGTTGACGAGGCCGCACGTGACCCGGAGGAAAGGAAAAAGCCCCGGTCGGCCGGCGACACGGCGAGCTGCAATTCGCGGATTCGCCGGGGGGCTACGTGAAAAAAAAGGGTTTGGATGGATGGATTGGTAGTACAGTGGAGTACTAGTAGCAGGCAGGCGACAATAATTACCGTAATCATCACTGGGGTTACGTAATCTTTCCCCTTTTAAAAATAGCACCCGCAATCTTTAGCAGAAAGCTGGCCACGCAGCAGCCGCTCATGGATGGGATAAGAGCAGTTACGATAGCAAGCTATAGGTCAGCTATAAACATATTTTATATTTTAAAAAGATAAAAGAATGGCTGCTGCTGCTGTTGTTGAATCCTCCAGGATTTTTGCGTGGATTTTTCTCGGGTTTTTTTTGTGACCTTGGGATTGTGTCTTTGTTTGGGAGTGAGTACTAGTGGTAATGTAGTGGAGACTAGTGTTTGGTAGGAGTATTTTTGGAGTTCAGACAACTAGTTTGATTATGTCCAGCGTTTCTTGTTTCAGAATGAGACAAGCGCTATGTGCTGCCATTAGGAGTATTTTTTTAAATAAAATAGATTATATGCTAAGGCCCTGTTTAGTTCCAAAGTTTTATTTTTCAAACTTTTAACTTTTTCATCACAGCAAGCATTTCATACACACAACTTTTTAATCACATCGTTCTAATTTCAACCAAATTTTCAAACTTCAGTACGAACTAAACACAGCCTAAGTTTATCAGGAGGCATTTCATACACACAACTTTTTAATCACATCGTTCTAATTTTAACCAAATTTTCAAACTTCAGTACGAACTAAACACAGCCTAAGTTTATCAGGAGGCTAGGAGAGAGTATAGTAAATATAGCGCATGATGCATTACACGCATAATGACACTCTCTTAGGGGGAAAAATTGAAAGAAAGACAGAATGATTAGTCGTGCAGCATATTACTTTCTCCATCACATTGTAAGTACAACCATGAGTTTTTGTGTCCAACTTAGATCATCCGTCTTATTTGAAAATTTTTTATAATTAGTATTTTTGTTGCTATGAGATGATAAAACATGAATAATACTTTACTCGTGACTTATGTTTTTAATTTTTTTAAATAAAATTAAAATAAAACAGACGATCAAAGTTAGACACGGAAAAACATAGCTGCACTTAAAATGAGACGGGGAGAGTACTAGTACGTACAGTAGCACGTTGGATTTGCGTGTATTTTTTATTCTCTTGGCCTGCATGAAGACTAATGATGCTAATTAGATTGTATAATTCCATGGAACGAGCAAAAGACACTGTCACACCTGTAGAAGCCCAGTGCGGAAGCATGTGAAACTGACCAGGAATGGGAGAATTCCCTTCTCCTCTGCATGCAGGCATGATTACGGCCATCATCAATTCCTCATCCACCGGGCTTCACTGCACTGCAGGCCAACGCATATGCACTCCGGCCATCCGCCATCATCATCATTGTTGTGGGCATGCAGGTTGTGCCTACAACTACTACGACCACCGCTGCGAGCATGCTGCTGACAGTGGTAGTAGTAGTCGTAGATCGATCGATCGATCGATCGATCGAGCAATCCTGTTTGATAGTATGTGCGGCAATGGGGACAGAGTCGATGGGCCGTTGTCTCGCTGCAATCATGCGGCATGATGGCGGCTGCTGCCGCGGCTGGGCTACGTACAGAGATGAGAGGAGCAGGCGAGCGAACGACTGAGCGATCGAGGTGTCGAGGCCTCCTACTGCCATGATGCCGGTGATGATGGCCTGCGGTTGGGGTTGATGTGTGTGTGATCCATCGATCGATCGATCCGTCGAAGTGCATGCGAAAAAACGCATAAGGACGCAATCATCCGTGTTTGTATCGCGTACTAGTAGTACCCAGGGGTTCCTTCCACCGCAAAAGTGACCGGCCGGCCCCAACTTTGGTGTTCCTACGACGAGCTAGCTAGGAATTATGCAGCTACAACGCCTCTTCGTTCGGCACGCGCCCAAAAAACGAGTGGGGAGCACTTGTGTGCTCCATCTTCGGTTGCCTTTAGGTTTTTTTTTTTCCATTCCTTGCAATTTTTCGAGGATTGAGTATGGTTTTGATGTCCAAAAGCAAAAATTGATGATGGCAGTAGTATATACTAGGAGTATGGTTAGTTTCTATTTGTATCATGAGATGCTAGGGATCCAATGTAGCAATAATACATACTTGAGCATGTGTATGATAATGGATGGATTTTTCTAGCAATGCCATCGATAGTATCTACAGGGATATCAAATTGGTGATGGATAGTAGTACATGAGCAATTAATATCCTTCATATTTTTGACGAATGTAGTAGCTGATCTCTCTACGTTTTATATTATAAGTCGTTTTAACTTTTTTTAATCAAACTAGGAAGTTAGCCCGCGTATTTGCGCGGGCAAGTTTCTTTTTAACAGAACACATCAGGTGAGGCATCTGTTGTTCATTGGCATTTTGCTTTGATAATTTTTCCAAGATATTTTTTAGGTTTTAAAATATATAATATTTAATACATATGTATAAATAATTATCTACGATCTCTTTATTATATAGAAAGAAGTTCGATTCAGTTTGTTTGGAAAACGTGTCTAACAAATGAAGTGTAAATTAGAAATAAGTTGTTTTGTTATTTTTTAATAGAATGTTTACTTGCTTTTTTAACAAATTCTAAAGAACTATTATTGATAATAAATAGGTTTTATTTGTACCATCAAGTAGTTCTCCTTCTAGTCGGTTTAAGTTGATGCAAGTTGTTACATACTTATATATAAATTTATAAAGGCATGTCATATACCTCGCTTCCATGTGATTTGTGTGATCTATACTATATTTTTCAAAAGAACATACCTAGTTAGCATGAATCCAAAATTTTCAATTTAATAGTAACAAATATAACTTTTCAATGAACTATATACTGCGAACCTTTGTGCGGTTTATATGTGTAATATATAGGAAAGATGTAGGGCCATTAATGTCTAAGCATTTTAAAATTATTACGAAAATGGAACATGCGATGGTTGGTCCAATTTTAGTGAATGCAAGAACCAATTTTTTTGCGAACTTATTACGTTTTCTCTAAATAGTTCAATTGAGTCCCTATTGACATATTCTATTACTTGCTTTATTTTATATTTTATACCAGTTCAAAATATAGGCCTCATGGATCTTTAAATCTTTGGTTTAATTATAAATAGAACAATATTTAGATTAGAAATAAGATGTGTAGCTTTGAATTTATGCATGTTTTAATATTGTTTATTTTTTCTCACTATATAAACAGGAATGGGTAGAGTGGAGAGCTCAAGCCGATAAGGGATGGGATGAGTAATGTCGTGTTGTGCGTATGTGTGGGGGAGGGCGAAGTGGAGGGGTGGTTTTTTCGATTTTATCTAAATGATTTAAGTGAAACCGATGAACCATTATTTTCTCACATTTTCTGTTATTTTATCTACTGTTTAAGACATAAAACATGGTGGCTTACGATTTTCCTAAAAGTATATCCGATGGATCTACCCATTTAAGTGGAAACTGATGGTTAGATGGCATTTTTAGGAAGTTTAATGGACTTTTAGTTTATAATGGATACATCTAATCTAATATTCTAAAATATCGATTTGGTCTGTGTCACGCCCTGAAGTTCCCCTTTCCAGCTTTAAAATTTGTAAAATAAATCGTCCGAAGAAATTGTTCAATTTAACCTAGAGCTAATTCCTCAAATTAATAAATGCAAATAATAATCAGAATCAACATGTGGAATTTTTCTTGGATTCTACATGTCAAAATATGCTAACAGGAATTTTAGTGGAATTTTCAGAGACTTGTAAATAATTTTAACCAATAAAAATAAGCAAAGTGCAATATTAAATCCCTAGGAAAATCCTTTTTCCTTTTTATCTTTCATTTTCCCTCCTTTTTCCTTTTTCTTGGGCCGCCGGCCCATTCCTTCCCGCGCCGGCCCGCTTCTCCTCCCCTCCCCGAAGTCCTCCCTCCTTCCCTCTCTCTTCGGGCGCCGACAGGTGGGGACCACCTGTCGGTCGTCTCCTACCTCCGGCCGTTGGAGCCGGAGCTCCAACCGCCCGCACCGCCGGCACCCCACCTCCTCCACTCGCCCCACGTCGCCGCGCCCACGTCGCCGCCACCTTCCCCACGCCTTCCCGCCCCGCGCGCGCGGCCAGAGAGGGCGGGATTCGGTTTTGAATCCGTCTCTCTCTCTCTCTTTCTCTCCCTCCCCCACGTCGCCAGCCAAATCGGGGGGCTTCCCGGCCGTGTCCGCCCCTCCCGAGCCCCTATAAAGCTTCCCCGCGTCCCCCTCTCCCTTTTCCCCTTTTCGCCACGCTCTCGCACGCCCTCTACCGCGCTCGCGCCGATCTCCTCTAGCGCCGCCGCTCGCCGCCGTGCTCTGGCCGCACGCCGCCACCGCTAGAGCCGCCGCCGAGCCAATCCGCCGCCGCCGTTAGCTTCGCCGCCGCCAAAGCTACCCCGGCAGCCGCATCCCCATCCAATCCCGCCGCCGGAACACCTCTCTCTCCGTGCGCCGGTGAGTTTCGCCGCCCTTCCCATCTCCGACCGGCCACGCTAGCCGCCGTGAGCTTCCTCCCAACCCCTAATTCCTCTCCATTTTCCTCCGTAGGTGCAACCGCCGCCCGTCTGCCCCTACGCTCGTCGGGTCATCGCCGCCGCCTTCGTCCTTCGCGCCGGCCGCCGTGCTCGCCGGTGAGGATCCCCTCTCCTCCCTTTTCCCATCTCTCTCGTTTGCGCCGCCCCTCTCCACGCACTCGCCGTCGCCTTCGGCCGACGCCGCCGCCTTCCGCGTCGGCCGCCGCCGCCTCCCCCGCCGCCGCTTCCAGCCGTCGCCTCCGACTCCCGCTCCGCCGCCGGTAACCATGTCCCGCCGCCAGCTCCGCGCGCGCCGCCACCCCATGGCCGGCCGGTCGGCTCGGAGCCGAGCCGAGCCAGGTGCCACCCCCCCCCCCCCTTTTGGAGCCACGGCCGG